AAGGGAAAGGAGGAGGTGGGGTGGGGGGCGGGGATCGGGGCCGGGCCGGGGCCGCGTCGCCTGCGATGCCCGGCGCCCGCCGCCGCCGCCACCGCCGGAGCCCGGGATGGGGCGAGAGGCTGCGGCGGACGCTAGCATCTCCCCGCCGGGGGCCCCGGGGACCGCGGAGCCGCCGCCGCCGCTGCTACCGCCGCTGCTGAAATCCAGCGGGCAATGGGTGAGTTGACCCCCGCGTCTGGGGGCCGCGCCGCAGCCCCGCATCCCGGTGCCTGCGGAGCCCCCGCGCCGCTCCGAGTGCCCTCCTGGAGTGCGGCCTTGGGGGCGGGGGCGGGATGCGGGGAGCCGCTCAGCGGCGCCCCCTCCCCCACTGGCTGCTCCCAGGCCCGCAGGGCAGCTCCGCGGCGCGCCGACCCCCCTCCCTGGTAGGGCGGAGGGCGTCCCGAGTCGCGGGGCCCGAGCCCTGCTTTGTGCGCCGCCCCCCACCTCGCACTCGGGCCGGCCGGGCCGGGGGCGGGAGGCCTGAGCGCCCGCCTTCCCCACCCCCGACCCCGGGCTGAGGCGGCGGCGAGGCCCAGGCGCTGTCGGGGTTCTGGGCGGGTGCGGGGGCTGGGACTGTAGCTGCCCGTGGGGACCAGGCGGAGGCAGATACCGAGAGAGTCCTGCACCTTTTCCTGGGGGGGGCCTCCCGTTCTTTGTACTGCACTGCCCAGGGTGGAGGAGGAATCCTGGCTGGGGTAGGGCTCTATAAATATCTGCAAATAGTGAGTTCTGGAACCGGGGTGGGGAGGGGAGCGCATGGTTGTGTGTATGTGTGTGGGGGGTGCCTGACAGGGGCGCAGCAAGGAGGTGCGTGCAGCCCAGCCAACCCTGTTGGCCGGAGGTCGGATGACACCACAAGAGGTGTGGGCAGGAAGGCTACCCCAGTGGGATTCCTCTATGGTCCCCTCCTTCATTCCTGGGACACCAGTCCAGATGAGCCTCCATGGGGTGCTGGTGGAGGGCACTGTTGTGTCAACCAGAGAAGCTCTATTATTAAAGGCCCAGGCTCTGGGCCAAGCATGAGAATGCCCGGGAGGGCAAGATACCCCACCTCCCCCTAAGCTGGCAACCCGAGTTATTGATGCTACCCGGGGTTAAGGAGATAGGAAGGGGTCGTGGGAAAGTTTGAAAGAGCGACTCTCAGCCCAAGGGGGAGAGAGAACTCACTGGAAGTGAGAGTGGAAGAGTTTGCTGGGTAGAGTGCCAGGAAGGGCATTCTAGGGAGAGGGAATGGCAGGATCACGGACTGGGATGTGGGAGTGGCTGGTGCCTATTGAGAGATGAGGTGGGGGCTGGTCGGGCACTGTGAGGCGATAAAGGAGCCCAGGCTGAAGGGCAGGAGGGACAGGTGGAGGCAAGGTGGCAGTCCACACCAGGGAGCTGGCACCAGCTCGTGAGCACAGCAGGAAGCGGGGACAAGGCTGGGAGTGAGCAGACTGACTCAGCCAACCGTGGGAGCAGAGTGTCAGCCCAGGCACCTCATGTGGGCAGGGCTACTCTGGGCATGGTGGTTATCTTTTCTACATAGCAGCAGGAAGTTGGCCTTCTGAGCCTCAGTTTCCACCTCTGGCGAATGGGGAGAATCTTCCACAAGATTTACCTGTAAATTGAGGACACACCATCCTGGCGGGAGGCCTGGGGAGCATCACTGAGGGCTGGCAGTGCTAGGGATCATGGGAGGGCTGGGTGTGAACTGGAGGGAGCTGAGGCTGGGGGGACTTAGATAAGTGGGGAGGAGTGGCTGGTGGAAGGGTGGTCTCCATCACTGTCTCCTCTTACCTCGTGGGCAGCCACCACCTTTTGCCTGCACTCAGCCAAGATATTGGGGTGTACTGCTCTGCTTCCCAAGGCCAAAGCCCATAAATGCCCCATAGTTGAAGAAGTTGCCCATAATGTACTCTCTCCTCCTGGTCAGCTTTACCTTCCACATGGGGACCAGGGTTCCCTTCTAGAAGCTTCCTCAGACATTCAGGCCAAGAAACACCATGTCTTCATGAAAGGGGTTTTCTGCTGGGTACCAAGGATACGGGCCTTGGTCTCAGGAGTTTAGAACCCTGTTGGGCAGTAAATTCTACTGGGTACCCTCTGTAAGCCCAGCTGGCTGCCAGGGAAAGGGCAGGAGTCATTAAAAGCAGATTCAGATCCAGCGACCTGGTTTCATTAATGTGTGACTGTGGACTAGTGACTCTGCAGCTCTGTGCCTCAGTTTCCTTGTCTCTAAAATGGGAATGGTGGACTGGAGATTTAGCTCAGTGGCTTGGCGCCTGCCTCGAAAGCACAAGGTCCTGAGTTCAATCCCCAGTATTGCAAAAATAAATAAATAAATAAAGAAATAGGGAATGGTGCATGCTGTTAGTATTGGACATGCTTGGCTTGGTTTCCTCCGGGCCTTTCCTGACCCCTTTCAAGAGCCTGCCCCTGCAGCTGCGTTGTCACAGACCTGTTGTGTCCTGACTGTGGCCCTAAAATCATCACTCTGGCAGGGGTCACCGGTATGCTGGCATCTGGCTCTCTGGGAAAATAAAATCCCCAATGAGTAGTGTTGGCAGATTCCTGTGGTGTAAATCTTCCCACCATGCTTAATAGGAGTCTTCTCCCAATGGGAGGTGGCACACACCTCCTTTATGGCACACACCTCCTTTATGGCACACATGGACAGGGCACACTTCTGCTCTATGCTCTTCCCCTAGGGGCTCCTCTCAGCCATAGCTTGGCCTAGAGTTTGCAGTGACCCAGGTGGACCCCATGCTTTAGCCTTACCAATCTCTGAGATGTGCTCCACACGGATCTAAACCTCAGCTTCCAGTCCGAGGCTTACAGTCTTCCTTTTTCTTGAATATCTATTCTTTTCCACCCCTTCCTCTGTCCCCTGAAACTCTGTCACCCATCAGAAGCTTCCTTGTATACCCGCTCCGTGATGCCCCCTGCACCCCAGATCAGACAAACCTTCCCTGCTCTGCTGTCACCCTGTCTGTGTGCAGCCCTCAGTGGGCACGTATGTCCACTACAGAAGCCCATGCTAGAGGACCATGACCCCTTCTGCAGAGGGGACATGCAGCTCGCACTGAGCACTAGTGGCTCAGGGAGGCTCCCATGAGTCCTGATTCCCAGCCATGGACCCACAGAATAGATGCCTGTTTCTTTAGTGTGTTTGTTGTCATGTGCTTCCAATAGAGATAGAGGTACCCAGGTAGCCTTGGTAAATAAGTGAAAGAGTGAGGAGTGAGTGAGTGAGTGAGAGTGATTCTCAAGGCCAAGCCTTGCTGTCCTGCCTTTATACCCTTTCCCATCCTAGAGGAGGGGTGTGGCCCTTCTGAGGGAGAAGGTCACAGGAACCCTTCTTGGTAGGGTTTATTGTTCCCACCTCCAGCAAGGGGACAGGAGGCTTTGGCTGGGAGAAGACGTGAAATACCCTCTGTCCCCTGTGGGGGTATTTTCCATAACACAGAAAGTTCACAGAATTCTAAAATACTTTCCCTGTGCTTCGTGAAGTGGAAATTCCCCCTGTTGGTGCCCTTATTTTCATCTTTTGTATAAAAATAAAATTGGAAAAATAGAAATCATTCACACCAAATTTCTTCATTGTTTTAAGAACTTAGAGCTTATTTGGCTCAAATCTTTGGTTCCCACCGAAGTGGAAATCCCCAGGGATGGGAGGGCAAGGGGCAGGATAAGAGGTGGGAGCCCATGCAGATGTGTGGACCTCCTCAGGCCTGGTTCTCGCTGCCTGGGAACTGCCCAGAAGGCTGGGAACTTTCCAGAAGGAATAGCCCAGAGCCAGGGGTCTGAGTGAGGAAGGACGTCCCCCACCTCTCTGAGCCTCTGGCTGCAGATCCTGAGGGATGGCTATTGGGTGTTTCTCCCCACCTCCACCTCAGAGTGGAGTTGTAGTAAATCGTGCTGTTTGTGGAGCACTTACTATGTGCTGGGCGAGGGCCAGGGACTGTGTGCATTAGCCTAGCTGCATTTTGTAACTTCCTGAGTATAGATGCTATTTTTATTCCCATTGGGCAGTTTGGGGATGCCTAGAATTGGGGGCTCACAGCCAGAAAGTATGGTGCTGGGA